CAATCTCATCCTCGAAATTCCCCAGGAGGTGAGGTGGGGGTGGGGGTCCAGCTGGTGGCACCTCAGCAGGCCCTGACTCCCAGTCAAGTACTCCTGGCTGCGTGGAAAACAAAAGGCTTGCAAGAGTCCAGGGTCCTTGGGAGGAGGACTCGCGGGAGGAGTGGGCGTGAAACTTGCCCTGCCCTCATCTCCCCACTGTTGTGAGTGCCACCAAGTGGGCTCCGGCCCACAGCGACCCTACGCACAACAGAAGGAAGACTGCCCGGTCCTGCAACCGAGCGGGCATGTGCCAAGGTCTCTGGAACCTCGGAGAGGAGAGCTGAACAACAAGGTGCGTCCCTCCATGCTGCCCAGTCCCAGGCTCCAGACAACCATGTCTCTACTGTCACCTAGTGGTGGCCAGTAAAAGGACAGCTCTCTTACTGCTTGGCCTTCTCAGGAGTCCCCAGATTACACCATAACACAGAAAAAGGACGTTTACAAGCACGGAACTGCCAGCATGTCCCTTAGGCAGACAGTGAGTGTGTGTGTGTGTGTGTGTGTGTGTGTGTGTGTGTGTGTGTGTGTGTGTTGGGGGTGGGAGGGCACTTGAAATTTGGCTTGGGGGCATCAGTCCTTCCTGTGAAAAAGTGTCGGATTGCCCTTCACCAGGACACAGTTACAGAGGACTCCTCTGCTTCTGAACTCTCTCAGCAGGCTCTGAACCCTCCAGTGGCAGATTGCCCGGGCGTGCGCCATCCCATCCACCTCTTCCTGGACTGCTGCTTCCGGGGCTGCTGTGCACCCAGTGACACGCCATCCTTGCCAGTGCCTGTCCTCTCTCCTTGATCACAAAGCTGTCCATGGCACAGCGGTGAGAACTTTGTGGTTCGTAAAGACCCGGGTGCACTCAGGATGGACCATGCTGCCCTTTCAAGGGAACAACAAGGTTCACCACTGGACCAATCGGCAGCTTCCTGATAAGCAGAGAAAATATCCAGGCGACCAATGGCTGCGCCTCATTGGTGCCCACAGTCAGCACCCACGGAAACAGCCAGGAGATGGGGCCACATGGTGCCCTGGGCTGTCCTGCTCCCAGCGGCCTGGAGAGAGCGACCATGTCACTCTGAGGACTAAGGTGCACTGGACCCAAGCCACAGTGATGCTGAATGAGCTCTTATTCTGGGCAGTGACGGAGGGAGCCAGAGGAGGACTCCAGGCGGCGCCGCCAGAGAACGTGGCACGTGCCATGGGCTGCCGGAAGGAGCAGCACATCTGTCTTGGAAGAAGCTTCCAACCTCTGACCCTTTGGTTAGCCGTCCCAACACTTAGCCCTCTGCACCGCCAGGGCTCCCCCACATGCTTGTCTCTCACCAGTCAGGCGCCCAAGGAGGACAGGAGGACCAGAGGCTGAGGACTGGGTAGGAGCTGGCAAAGAGGGTAGGACTGGGGCAGAGGGAGAGGCAGCAGGGCCTGGGGTCGCAAGAGGGGTCGGTGGGGCAGAGTGGGGAAAGTGGTCCTCCTCAGGTGCCGCTGGCACACAGCCCAGGTGTCCCCAGCTCTGCATGCCGCGCGAGGGTAGCAGGCAGACCGCTGCCAGGAGCTCCTTCTCACTCTGCAGAAGCTGGCCCCCAGCCCCCTCACCGCTCTGTGTCACCAAGTCCACAGTGGGAACAGCACGAGGCTCCCCAGGACCGTGGGTGCGTTAGCGAATGGGAACGTGGTGTGCGGCACACTGCACTCACCTATGGGCATTGATGTAGTCCTTCCTGTGCTCCAGGAGGAAATCCCGCAGCTTGCCAATGTGTGAGATCTGCAAGGGAGGAAGCCAACAGGTCACAGGGATGGATGGATAGATGGACAGGCACACAGACGCATTTTAAATCGACAGAGGACGACGACAGGGCTATGGAGACTCTGATGGCTGGCACACGCACCGGAAACTCTGACCCTCGCTCAGCCACTGGCTGGGTGACCTGAGGACAGAGCCCCGTGCCCTTGGGCGTGTTTCTCACAGAGGGTTCCTTCTGCCTCTAGTGACTGGTGGTACCGAGGTGGCGGTTCAGCCCCACCAGTCACTCCCCGGGAGAAAGACGGGACTTGCTTGCAGGGAGATGTGGAGCCGTGGAAACCCCACGGGCAGTGCTCTGTCCTACGGGGTCACTACGGGTTGAACCAAGGCTGCCACGGGAGTGGGCTTTGGGGTATAATGCTGTGGAGGTTGAGAGTCAATGAATACTTGTTGAGGGTCTCCCCCTCTTTCATTTTATAAATCACTGAACTCCCCCACTCCCCGCCCACAGCTCCTGAACAGCTAGCGGTGACTGTGGCGAGATCTGTCATAGGGTGTCACCGGCCCGCATTTCTGTTCTACGAGGCTCCCTCCTGTGGGCTTACACCCTGGTGAGACGCAGCCTTCTGTATGCCCTCTGGCCTTGTACAACTTAGAGACCTTTTTGTTCAAAGAAATGTGACACTGGACAGTGACCGTTGTCACTACTCTCCACCGAGCGACTGCACATTCATGGATGAATCAGGGCCTAGGTCAGAGCTGTGTCAAAAACGTTTTGACAGCATGGTCACATGACACTACCATCTTTATACACGTTCTTGGCCAAACCCGTTTCCTGCACTGGGCTCCGTCCTGCGTTCCTGCTGCTGCGTCTACTGCCAAAGCATCAAGGGGCCCAGGTGGCACAGCGGGTAGGCGCTCGGCTGCTAACTGAAAGGTGGCCAGCTGGGACCCACCAGCCGTGTGGGGGGAGGATGCAATCTGCCTCAGGGAGGACCCCGGCCTTGGATGTCTTGTGGGCAGTGCCATTTGTCCTGCTCACTCAGTCTCTGAGTCGCCATGGACCGGCTGTGCCGCGCCAGCACGTTGCCCAGCTCTGCCGTGCTCCCTGCATCTGCAGGTCAGCGGGCACTCGGAATGCCGGGAGTTCCCACCCGTCCACACGGACAGCTCAAGAAGGGTCTGCGGGTCCTTACAGTGTTCTGTCGGCGTTAGCATGCAGCAGAAGCTCGATAGCAAGAAGAAACTGGGAAGTCCTCCCGCTGAGCGCTTTCCTCTGGCATTCGCAGGGACAGGCTTTGGTAATCAAGGCAGGAAAACCCACAGCGGAAGCACCAAGCACCCCCGTGCCCCACCCCTCGACACGCCACGGCTTCATTTGGGGAGGCCTGCGACCTCGGCTTTCAGGGTCTGCTCTGTAGTGGTGCTGAGGACCTCACGCGGAGTCTCCCAGCAACCCCCAGGAGGTAACAAAGCTCGCACGGCTGCTTCCCAGATGAGGAAACTGAGTCTGAGGGAATAAGCCATTTACTGGACGCACCCCTGGAAGGGGTGGCACTGGGCTGAGGCCAGCCTGACCCCTAGCAGGTCACAGTTAGCTTCCCCAGGGTGGCTGGGAATAGACAGATGCAGCCTAAGCTGTACTCTTCCTGAATTTAGCCTTGGCCGTGAGACCATACCTGGTTTTACCCAACCCGGGAGGCATCACTTGGTG